CTGGGGAATTCTGGGAGTTGAAGTCCACCCATCTTAAAGTGGCCAAGGTTGAGAAACCCTGGTTTATGGTTTGCACTCTGCCGGAAGCTGCTTCAGGTCCTATGATTCAAGCAGCACAGAAGCATTTGTAATGAATCAATAAAATCCCAACCATGCTGGAAGGGGAGCCCGGCAGCCGCCACAGAGCACAGCAGCGCAACTCAGGTGTGGGATTCCCAGGAGGCCTTGGGGAAGGGTTACCCTGCCCTCTTTATCACAGAACAGGCTGAGATAGTGAAGTGAAAAGGAAGGAGTTAGTATCTCAAAGCTCAGTGATTAAGTTCAGCAACTGCCTGGATAACAGAGGGAGAGAAAGGATTGGAAATTAAGGAGCTTCAGGGAGCACTGGGGATAAATATTAAATGTTCAGGTAGGCACATAGTTTAGAAATCACAGCCGCCCACACATAGAAGAGATAAGACACGAAGGGCAAAAATGATTCACTCGAACAGTCTCTGCAGATCGATAAAATTCACTTTGGTTGGCAAAGCACGTCTGTGTCTTCTCTGGATCTGTGGCTATCCCTCCACCCACCCCCCGGGCCCCCTTCTGGGCAGATTCTGGGGGGCTCAAGGATGCCAGGCGGAGAAAGGTGGCAGAGATCCTCTCGGACGCGCTCTGCCAGTGGGAAAGGGCAGCAGAAAGAGGCGTCTGGCTCTGCTGGGGCCTTTTTAGCACAGACGCTGAGACTGGCTGGCGCGATGGGTCGCTTGCAGAAGCAGTCACCCAACATTAGTTTTAACCTGGTTTTTTTGGGAGGGGGCGTTATCCTGTTGGCCTAGCTGAATCCACCTGGTTAGTTTATGTTGGAGGTTAAGCACTTGAAGGAGAAAATGGCATTAGCCATTTAGTTAGCTGTTAGTTAGCTAGCCAAAGAGATCTCACACACAGACACCAGTCGCCTCTCCTGGGTCCCGCCGAGGACCATAAAAGCTCTGGAAGGCAAAGGCCTGTGGATAACCAGGAGAAGGGATACTTGGGGGTGAGGAAGGCGATGAAAAGGCCCCCAGCTGGCCCCCACGAGGGGGGCAACATGAGAAGCCTTCATTAGCCTGACCCAGTGGCTACCTGTTACCCCCACGGGGTTATCTGTCTAGGAGAGAACATTTGGTTTTAGTCCTTGCCCCCCAAACTATGAGCGGGGTTTGGCTGTCCTGAAGTTGAAACAAACGAACAGGCAAACCTAGTTGAGCAGTTTCTGCTCACACACCTGTTTCATCTGGTTCCATGCGCCAGACCTGCAGCGCACTGTCCGGCGGGCCACTGGTCACCAGCAAGCTGAAAGCACAAATCAAGAAGCAGCATACGTTGTTTGCACAATGACATCACAACATGCACAATGACACTAGCCCCTGGGCTTGATTTGATCTTAATCACATAAAAGAATGAGATTGTTTGCTGCTCTGCTTTGAACAACGCTCTAAACGAAGCTAAACTGGGTTGGGTGGTTGGTGGGTCAGGATGTTGGTGGGAACTCAGCTCTCGTCTGAACACAGTGGGCGACCCACGCCATCCCACTAAAACCCAACGTGGGTTTTTGTTTGGACGCATATCTCTGAAAGCCATCCAAGCTGGAGACCATCCTCACATCTTGTGGCAATGAGTTCCACAGGCCACGATGCAGTAGACGGCCACCAGCATGCAGGCCAGTATTATTCAGAAACATGTGAAGCGAACGTTGAGCTTCGATTTCAGCATACTCTGGGAACCTGACTTATCTGCTTAATGATTTCTCACTTCTGTCATGTGAAACCTTAGGATTTGGTGACCCTTCTGAAGGGGCACCAGAGAGACCACGTGGGGTCTGCTGGACTCACACGGGGCCATGGAGGTTCGGGCTGTGCGCCCCTGAACCATGGTTAGCATCCTGAATGCTTCAGACCCTAATAATCAAAGTCCCACCAACCACGTCGTGGCTGTGTGCAATGTGCAAAACTCATCAGCGTGTTCCACCGTATTTCTGGCCCAGGGTAGCGCTCACGTTGGCCGTCTAAGGGCCAGTAATGTTTGTTTCCAATACTGTTTTGGCTTTTCCCTTTAGGCCCTCCTAACCCCACTTAAGTCATCAGCAAGGCAACATCTGAACCCACCTACCTGCTTCCTGGGACGTGTTTCAGCCCGTACACAGGGCGATCGCACATTCCACCCCGCTCAACCTTGAAATCTCTCTCTGGACATAAACCCTGAAAAAGTGCAAGGATCCACTCGTAGAAGACAGTTTGCACTTAGAAGTTCCACCCCAAGCTTAGCCAGCATCCCAACCTGATACTCTCCAAAGGCGAGGATTACAGCTCCCGTCAGCCATCACGCTGACTCGGGTTATTGGACCTGTAGGTAGCCCAGGTCAGGTGTGAATAGCTCTCGGCTTCTGCGCCTCCCCTGATTTTATAAAAGGGAGGTTGGCCTGCTACCAGTGGAAACCACTAGCTAGTAAAAGGTTCTTCAAGACAAGTTAAACTCCTGGCCACTTTTTAACTTAGAATCAGGGTAGAGGTCATCTAGTCCTCCCCGCAGGATCTCTAGAGCATCTCCGATGCACGACCATCCAGGTGAAGACCTCCAGAAGGGAGAACTCATCTCTTCGTGCAGCAGCCCTGGGCTGACAGCTCACGCAGCCAGGAACTTCCTCCTGATGTCTAGTGTGAAACTCATTTCTTGCACAGGGAGTCCCCAATTTAAGAATGAGTTCCGTCCCCAAGGTCTGTCCTTAAGTTGGATTTGTACATAAGCCGGAACAGTATTATTGTGTAATACTATAAATAGTATTGTGTAATGAACTCGGACCATTGTGTACTTAACTCAAATCACTGTGTATTTAACTCAAGTTTTGCTACAATAGGCTCTGTTCTTAACTATGGGTCGTCTGTAACCTGGGTATTCTTAACCCGGAGACTCCTGTGGTTTTGACCCATCTAATCAACTTATTGCTCAAATATCTGCTTATTTTTTCCAAGATCAGCAAAGGTCAGCTCGATGACCAGCAGCATCAGCACAGATATTCATTTTTCCTTTATTTCTTTTAAAAAATTCTAGGCTCTCCTCCAACGTTGCTTTTCCACCTCGCTTGTTCTGGTCTGCTTCATATTCTTTTAATAAGCGAGTTTTTAGCTGACAGCAGCCAGAGTTGTTTGGGATTGGGTAGGCTATAAATTAAATTCATAAATAAGCAGCAATCCCTCACCGCTCAGTTCATGAAACACACTTAACAGGTTGAGTTCGAGACCTGGTTTTCGAGCTGCCACTTGCTCAACAAGCCAGACTTGGTTAAATTTGACTTTTGTCATGTTGTACCTTTGCAAGTTATTCGACCGCTTGGTTAGCTCATGATGTGGGTATTACGCAAATCCAGAAATTGGGTTCCTTATCCTGGGTGAATTTATCCAGTCCCCACATGTAGATGTTTAGAGGGACATCTACGTCTACATCTACATGTTGGGGACAGCAGTCCCTACATCTAGTGGCAGTGAGTTCCACAGGACAGTTTTGCACTGGAGACCCACTACCTTGCGGACCACCTTCCCAGGGTCACTTCTACCTTACCTTATTCTGCTTCGCGAGGAGCCTCAGAGGCAGAAGGAGCTGCAGAATTTCGTTCCTGCCCCCGTCCCCATATCCAGCTACACAGATGCCTGAAGACGGAATCACAGACCACCTCAGGGTTGCAACGTCATCAGGCAAGAATGCCACCCTACCGGTAACCCACACTTTTTCTTTCAGCCTCCTCCCCACCCACCCCACGGGTGCAATGTTTCATCCAGCTCTGATATAAGTGCCATGCATTAGAATAAAATCTTAGAATTGTAAAGTTGGAAGAGGATCATCTTGTCTAGTTCTCCGCAGAGTGCAGGGAAACCAATGAAAATTCTTAAACTCTCCTCTAAAGATTCTTAAAAACCTCCAGAGGTAGAGAACCCACCACCTCTGTTGGGAAACTGTTCCTGTGGTACAGATCTTGCCATCAGGAAGCTTTCTCCTTATATTTGACCTAGGCAGCTGAAATTCACATCTATTATTCTGGCCCTCCGTTCTGTGGCCATGAACCAAAGCTTTTAACCCTCTTCCTTGCAGCTTCCCCTTTATGTACCTGAACGTGACCATCATCTTCCCAGTTCTCCACAATACAGGCCAGAAAAAGTGGGACTCCTTTAAGGGGGTGCCAAAAGGCGTGGCGTGCACCCCCATACCTGCTGCAAAACGCCACAGGTTCAGTCTGGTTACTGGTCTGCCAGAATTTGGGGGAGTCGACCTGAAACCCCGGTTGCTGGGAAATCACAAGGGAAGATGATGTCCATCTCTGCAAGCTTCTGGGTGTATCTGGTTGGCCATCGGGTGACCGGGTCATTGGCCTGATCCAGACCCAGGCCTTTTCTCAGGTTTCCTCATCACTGCCCATTCCTACCGTTGATCAAATTACCATGGGTACATCTTGGGTATTCTGCCAGGCCATGCAACTGGGGTGGTTTCAGGCTCAACCCCACGGCCTTGATGCATCTCTTTCGGTCTTGAGGACAGAAACCCTGGCCTCTCAGCCAATCCTTCTCAGTCTTGGAAGCTGGGGTGTCCACAGGGGTGGGTCAAAATTTGCAAGATGGCAGGTACAGTGTCCCAGTCGAAGCCTCTTGTAAGGACACGTGCCATCTTGCAGGTTTTGACCTCCCCTGCTTGGAGGACAGCCCAAGGCCTCAGGAGGTAACTCATGCTCCCATCCTGGCACTGGGTGCAGAAGAGGTCGGCTGGCACCCATCCTCCTTATCCACTCGGCTCTTCGACCTCTTCCCTTCCGGGTACCAGCAAGCTGGGCACAGTTGGCGGGTTATCATAACCCATCTCAATACAAGTAGTTTTAGCCTTCCTGCTGAGGTGATTTCATGGTCTGCCCTACCCAGAGGGGCTGGCAGCTGTCTCAGCTGAAAAGGAAGGGTCCCGATCCCACTCAGTGTTGTGGAAATGCGGAGCCCAGGAAAACGCCCCCTCCTCAGGACGCCCCCCCCCCCCGCAGCAGCTGCTCCTAACTCATCCAGGCCAAGCCCTGAAGGGCAACGCACTGCCACTCACGCTGGTCTCCCGTCCACTCGATGACTCTGGTGGGCCCGGGAAGCTCAAACTGATGGAGGTCGTTGTATCTAAGCGAGACGAATCGGGGTGCATATTCAGAAGAAGGGTGAATGGTCTGCCCCACTCTCAGACCCACCGAAGGCTGCAACCCTCACTTGAGCTTGAAGCAGGAGTGCCTGGCCTGGCCCTGCAAGCCTTGGGGTTGTAGAGTCCATGAGCTTGGTGGCTTTCCTGCAGATGTTTCATGACCCAACTAGGTAACATCATCAGTGCCAGTGCGTGTGGGGTTTGCCCCCTGTTTACATATACTGGTAGTAGCTTGCTCTGCCAGTGTTGGGGGGGGGGATTCTCCTTGGTAGTTCCTTGATTAGGCTGTTGTTTACTGCTTGTTTGTCTGGTGCTAATCTCTGCTTATCTGGGTGTTGATTGCTGGCAAGGAGGTGTTCTGGTCTCACTTCCTAGCCGGGTAACGAAACGTCTGCAAGAAAACTGCCAAGCTCAGAGAACCCCAAGGACTCTACAGTTCAACCCTGAGCAACAGAGACTCTCTTCTGTTGGTACCCTTGGGGTAGTCTGCACAGGGCAATGACACACAGGCCATCACAAAAGCAGAGTCAGTGGATGGAACACACCAACTCAAGACTCATGGTTGGAAGACAACTGGTGGAGCCCACAAAACCCTTCAAACTGGTCCCTGGGCTCGCACAACACTTTTCTGAGCTCACACGATACTTCCATAAGCCATGACCTAACCAACAAGGCTTGTCATGAGAAAACCTGCCCAGGTGGCCACGAAGGGTCGATGCCAACTTGGTGGCACTTAATCAGCAAACCAACAAGCTAGATTGGCAGGGCAGAAAATGGAGGGAGGTGCAGGCTAGTCAAGCTTGGCAGGGGGTGCGAAGGCCGGCTTGCGCCTGACCTGCTTGTGCGCTGGCTGGGAGCAGCACCAGTGGTGTGTTTTGGGGGCATCCTATTTATTGGGGTGACAATCCAATGACATTGCAATGGTTATTGCAGGGTTTCTCCAGCTTGGCCACTTTCAGATGGGTGGACTTCGACTCCCAGAATTCCCCAGCCAGCTGGGGCTGGGGCTGGCTGGGG